ACCCAGTATGACCTCGCCTGAACTTGACCACATCTGCAAAGACCCTATTTCCAAATCAGGTCACATTTTCAGGTCCTGAGGATTAGGACTTCAACACATCTCTATGGGGGACACAATTTACCCCACAACATCCCTTTAATAATAAACATCCAAGAGCCTGCTCTGTCTCCTCCATTCATTTACCCTCTCCCTGCCCCATCTGCCTGTTCCTCATTCTATGATCCTTAAAAACTGGTCTGAGCCTGATGGGTGTCTTGGAAGTTTGTGGGGCTTCTTCCAGGGAAGGGGACTCCTGGACATGTTTTTATAATAATAAATCCATTTGGGCCTGGTGCAGTGGGTCATGCCTGTAATCCCAGCACTTTGGGAGGTTGAGGCAAGAGGATTGCTTGAGCCCAGGAGTTTAAGACCAGCCTGAGCAACATAGAGAGAACCCATCTATACCAGAAATAGAAAAGTTAGCTGGGGGTGGTGGCATGCACCTGTAGTCCTAGCTACTTGGGAGGCTGAGGCAGGAGGATCACTTGAGCCCAGGAGTGTGAGGCTGCAGTGAGCTGTGATGACACCACTGCACTCCAGCCTGGGCAGCACAGGGAGGGCCTGTCTGGAATAATAGAAATAATAAATCCATTTGCTTTGGCAGAGATTTTTTTTAGTTGGTTTTTGTGTTTATTTCTTATGTATTAAAGGAGGAGACTCACATGACTTAAAAAAACAAAAATTCAAGGCACAAACATAGAAAATTGGGGAAGGTTTGGTTGTGGTTTGCAGATGTTCTCCATCCAGGGCACTGAGAAGTAAAGCTGGTTGCCGCGGAAGCCCATGGGAGCAGGGCAGGCCTGGGAATTTCAGAGGAGCTGGTCATTCTAAGAGTTGCTCAGGTCTGGGGGGACTCTTTGGGGATAAAATAAGGGAAGAGATGAGAGCAGCAAATATTCTTGCACTCTCCAGCCCATTGACAACTACTGTGATCTACCCTACGGGGAGTCAAAGGAAGGAAATGGCTAGAGTTGTTTTATTGACTATTCAGCAATATCCCTTATGAGTATGGTGTTCAAATAGTTTATCATTTTGATAGTGAAAAGATTACTGTTAATAATTATACCCAGACAACAGGCATAAACTGGAACTATATGCCAGGCAAATAGAAGTGTATGATTATTCTAATCAAGGGAAGAGACATTCCCTCGATTAGGAGGTCTGAGGATTCTCAGACCTTACCACCATTAAAACAGCTGGTTTGATTGTAGTTTATGGATGCAGTGACTCTGTAACTGATTGTGTTTCTTTCTTTGCTTGGCTTTTACGAAGCTCAGAGCCATATTTGTGGCCTACCTTTTGTCACTGTGCTGCAGTTTACCAAATGTATTTCTGCATCTTCTCACCAGCTTTATCTTATTCTTCAACTCTCATTTCTTTTTCTTCATCCTAATATTTTGTTTTCTTTGAAAATCTATGTCTTTTGTAGCTGTTTGGATGGACGATGTTTGAAGGAATGCATGGATGAGTTAACAAAAGTTTGGACAGATGGATGGATGAATGTTTGACTGGATAGATGGATGCGTAGGTAGGTGTTTTGGGGGTATGTGTGTGTGCACGCACGTGTATAGGTATGTTTGGATAGAAGGGTGGGTATTTGGATCAATGAATATATGAATGGCTAGCTAGACATTTGGATGGATGGATGGGTGAATGGATATTTGGATGATAGATATTTAGATGAGTAGATGTTTAGGTGAATGGAAGGATAGGCATCTGGCTGAATATTTAAACAGATGGACGCATGCTTGTATGTTTGGATGTATGGGCTGAATGTTTGGCTGGATAAATGGATGGTTGAACAGGTGATTGCATGAAGGGAACAGTGGTCAGCTGACTGGATATTTACATGGATATATTATAGCATAAATAGATAAACAGAAGAATGGTTGGGTAGGTATTTGAATGGATAGGTTTTGGGGTGAGTAGATGGATGGGGATGGGTGGATGGGTGTTTGAATGAATGAATGCATGGCTAGCTGGCTGGTTATTTGAGTAGATGGATAGGCATGTACACGTACATATATGTGTGTGTGGATGGATGGATGTGGAACAAGAATCAATGGGAGAGGGGGGCATGGGCAATATATGTAACCTTAACATTTGCACTCCCATGATATGCTGAAATAAAAAATATATATATTTAAAAGGTAAAAAAAAAAAAAAACAAAAAGAATCAACGGGTATTGCTTAATGACTTGTGATATAGAAAAAAAGAAAAAAAAAAGAATCGATGGGTAAAGGGGTACTTGGATGATTGGATAATACTTTCTCGGTACAGTGTAAATGTGCCAAAGGTGAAATATCATGTATAAATAACTTTGCCAATGACTGACATGTCATGGGCATTCTAACTCATTAGAAAGGATGTGGAGTTCATAGACTGAAAGACTTTGTTCTGATCCTTGCCCTCCCACTTACTATGTGACCTTGAGCAAGTACCTAACCTCTCTGCACTTTAGTTTGCTTGGCCATAAAATGGAGTTAAAATACCTACCCTAGAGGGTTGCTGTGAGAATTGAAAGGGCTGGTGTTTGTTTCAGGAGTAAATACCTCATATTTCTTTCTGAGACAAAACATGAGAGAAAATTTTTGTACCCAAGCACGGAATAAAAGCCCTTTACCCCAGTCTGATTGATCCAGCCTAAGTCATGTACCCACCCTGGGACCAACAGCAGTTGCTAATGGCATGTGTTGTTTGGATTAGACTGATCAGGCTCCACCCCCAGAGTTAGGACCAGCGCAGCTTACCCTGAGTCACCTGCTTGAGGGAAGAAAGTCAGGGAGGGAACAGTTTGAGGGTTGCTGGGTCAGATCAGACGGTGAGGTGATATTCATGCTGACAGGCAGGGGAAATAAGTGACCAGTGGGCAAACTGTAACTGTGTTAAGGGTGTAGAAAAAACATGCTTTGGTAGCTCATTGTATGTCAAGGGAGCAGTGAAAGAGAAACAATATTCACTGGGATGGGGAACCCCGGGGAAGTGCAGATTGATGAGTTGGGCTATGTTGCCTTTGCAGTGAATGTGGAAGATCCGGGGGGAGATGTGGTTGGATTGGTGTATCTAGGACTCTGGGGAAAGGTCTGGGCTGCAAACGGAGACTGGGAAGTAACCAGCATCTCTCAGTCTTTATAAATCTATGTGCCCTTTCAATAAACATAAAATCTTACATCCTCATTTAATGATATTTACAATATATAAGTGCATTAGATATCATGATTAAAAACAAATGAGTTGCAGAATTGGGTCTGCTTCCCAGCTGATGCAGATGGCCATTGTGGGCAGGTTAGGTAAAGCCTCCTGTCTCTTGTTCCTTTGGAGACCTAGGCTACTTTGTTCTTCTCTCATCGTGGCTGCGTGGGTGGGCCACACGGCCAGACCCTGTACTCTGGCATTTTCACTTCTGCTGTTTTCAGTTAAGCTATCCAACTCTGCTCTGCAGTGTCTCTGGCAGGCAGGCGTCTGGGCAGTGCTTAGTCACTTGCAGAGTCAGGGAGCTCACTACCTCCTAAGAGAGCTTCTGCCTTCCAGATGGGCATTCCTACCTGTGAGCGCTAACTGGCCCCCATGGCTTGCCCGGGCTGTGCGCAGCTCCGCCCTCCAGACCAGCGTGGAGAGAGCATGGAGCTCGGTGTCTCCCGGTGGCAGCGCCTCAGGCAGTCGAGCGAGCGGCCAGGCCTGCCTCCAGTACAGGCTGGCCCTGTCCTCCTCACTTTCAGGGCTGGAACCCGGCCTCAAAATCCTTCTACAGAACAGGGGAAACCCGCTACTCTGAGCTCAGCGGCCTCTTGAGAGGCACTTCCGGTCCTGCTTAGTGGGGCACTTCCGGTTCCACTGAGCTTAGCCCTTCTTGCTCTGGTTCCGGTTCCGCTGTGTGTGTGGGGAACTTCCGGCTTCGCTCTGTCCCGGAGCTTCTGGAGGTCAGGGTGGGTGTATGCTGAGGTGGGCGAGCCCAGGGAGCAGTTCAGAGCGGGGAGGCTGGAGGCCGGCGGCATCCCCAGGCCACGGGTGACCGGGTCCTCTGTGCCCCGCGTACTCCTGGAGAGACCGGGTCTGACCAGGGTTAGGCCCCCTTGGGCTCCTGTGCCCGGCTGGCCGTCCCACTTGTACCGCCTCCTAGGGGTGTGACCTTTGGTAAGGTTTTGCCTTCTCTGTGCCTCGGTTTCTTCAGGGCTCTGTAAGCTGGGAATAATGATAACGGTGTCTACATCACTGAGTGTGGGGATTGAAGAGAGGATGGCACAGTCTTGCAAGCAGGACTTGGGTTTAGAAGCAGCTCCTTGAAGGTTAACTATACATGTTCCTATTATTCTCTGAGGTCTCTCAAATCTCTCTGGAACTCCAGAACTGATAGCCCTTTGACCCTTGATGGGAAATGTTGAAAAAGACTTAAGACAGCAAAAAGGGTGACCTTTACAAAGGCTATTGGCCATTGTTTATGAGACAGAAGCCTTTGTTATAACAAGGAAGCTGGAGCAGTTAAAATTCAGGCATCAGACCACTGATGTGGAAGGAGACTATTTGGAGGAGTTCGTGGACGTTTCTTTCATTCCAGAGATTACGCTTTTTGGTGGTGTGCATAGTTAATTTTATTGATGCCCTCTGCTTCAAGAGAGCCAGTTTTTAGGAATTGTAGACTGGATCCCCACATACTGTTTGTGTTGAGAGGCTTTCTAGGGAGGCAGAACTAGGTGTGAACCTTGCTTGCTTCACTGTGGTAGGAACCGGAAGGCACCCCACACATCCCCAGCAATGTGCTCTGCAAAGTGGTGGCCAGCCTTGTTGCAGAGCTAGGATCTTCATTTTTATAACTGTTTGGTCCCCAGCCCCCAAGGAGGACTTCACCTAACACCTGTTGAGTCATCCCCTAATCACTTACGTTCTGGTGGCTTTCTGTGGTGGTGGGAGAGGGGATCCCCAGGCTCTTCTTCTGACACCTCTCCTGCCACTTATTTTTCAGACATTGACGAGTGTGAGAATGACTACTACAACGGGGGCTGTGTCCACGAGTGCATCAACATCCCAGGGAACTACAGGTGCACCTGCTTTGATGGCTTCATGCTGGCACATGATGGACACAACTGCCTGGGTGAGTGATATAGCCATGCCCTGCCCTCTGGGCACACCTTGCCTATTTCTCAGCTCTAACTTGCAGAATAGGGGGCTGTGAGAAGGCTTGCCCTCCTTTGCCTCCTTGTATTAGTTTGCTAGGGCTGCCATAAAAAAATGCTACAGACTGGGTGGCCTAAACAACAGAAGTTTATTTCCTCGCAGTTCTGGAGGCTGGAAGTCTGAGATCAAGATGCTGGCAGGCTTGGTTTTTTTTCTGAGGCCTCTCTCCTTGTCTTACGAATGGACATCAGTCATGGGAGTAGGGCCCACCCTAGCAACTCCATTTTTTACTTAATTAGCTCTTTAAAGGCCCTAACTCCAAATATAGTCACATTTTGAGGTAATGGGGGTTGAATTCCTTCAACATAGGAATTTTGAGGGGACACAATTCAGCCCATAAACTTATATACCTCCATATTCCCATGGTTCAAATACATTTTGTAAGCCAATTGTATAAAATTTATAAGAGTAGTCCACATTTGCTGTATGAAATTGGAAAATTGTAGAAGAGTAGGAAGAATAATTTGGAAAGCATCTTAGTTATGCCGGTGTGTTTCTTTTTTCTGTCTGTGTGCAGGTGTGCTTTTACCATAGTAGTGATCAGGTGGTCAGCATGGTTTTGTCCTTTAATGTCATATATGTCTCAGGCGTTTTTATGTGGCCCCTATTATCACCATTTTCCTAGTCTCCCCATAGTCTGATAAATTACCAAAACCTGTATTAGTTTCCTGGTGCTGCCATAATGAAGTAACAGTCTAGGTATCTAAAACAACAGAAAGCTTTTCTCTCTGCCCTCATGGAGGCCAGGAGCTAAACTGGAGGCATAGGCAGGGCTGGTTGCTTCTGAGGGCTGTGAGGAAGAATCGGTTCCAGGCCGCTCTTGTAGCTTCTGGTAACCTCAGGTATTCACTGGCTTGTAGATGGCACTCCCTCTCTGTCTTTACATTGTCTAAGTTCTGTGCATGTCTGTCTCTGTGTCCAAATTTCCCTTTTTTATAAGGACGCCAGTCACATCAGATTAGGGCCCACCCTAATGACCTCATCTTAACCTGATCATCTGCCAAGACCTTATTTCCAACAAAGGTCACATTCATGAGTACTGGGGGTTAGAACTTCAACATCTTTTGAAGGAGGCATAATTCAACTCGTAATAGAGGTGGTTTGAAATCTGTAATAAGAGGAATGATGTCTCATGGTAGAAAGTGCATGGATTTCAAAACAGTGGGTGCCTGTCCCCCGGTCCCTCATCTGCCACCGGCTGCTAGGGGACTGGGGCACAGCCCCTGAAGCCAAGGCAGTACAGGCATAGATGTATCATTGACTTGTCTGGGTCTCGGGCCCTTGCTGACAGAGGAAGGCTGTCAGGAGCAGCTGCCTCCAAGGACTGTCTTGAGCAGCGACTGGGAAAATGTCCAGACAGCCGAGGAGCAGGCCCGGCTCAGACTCTAAGCAGCTGGCTGCTGTCACCTGCCCTCACAGGTCTCTGAGCCTCAGTCTTCTCCCCTTCAAAGTAGGGATAATTATGCTACCTACTTCTCAAGGTTGTGAGCGAGGATGACATGACAATGTGAAGTGAAGGGACTGGCACTCAGTGGGTGCTAAATAGTCAACAAACTATTGTTACTTTAGGTGACTGGGCCACCTTTTCATAGATTGTTTGCTTTTTTGTTTGTTTTTATTGTCAGAATCCAGAGGTGGTTCTGGATATAAAACACTTTTTTCCTATTTTCCCAACTGTTTCCTTAGGATGCTTCACAAAAGTAGAACTGGGTCAAAGGGTCATTCAGATTTTGTGTGGTTTTTGATGCAGTGCTTTCCAAAAGGGCTCCACAAACCTCCCATTGTGCCAGCTGTTTTACTGGGCAGAGTATAGTATAAGAAGCTGGACATCCTGGATACTCTGGAACTTTTCCTCTTAGTGATGTATTAGCCTTAGAGTTCCCTGCCTGTCTTTGTTTAATGCATGTTGGATCTTAGATGAGCTTGTTATGGGAAACAGATCTGTGAACATGTAATTACACCTTAAATAAGCGCCAAAACAGAGGCCAAGACAGCAGGTTATTGAAGCCCAGAGGTGGCCTGTGAAGAGCTACCCCTATTGTGGGGTGAGGGTGGGCATGTAAGTGGGGCTGACTCCCCAGGGGGGCTTCAAAGAGGAGGCAGCATTGGGTGGGCTCTCCAAAGGCTGGGGAGCAGTTTGCTGGGTTGAGGGCACAGCCTGAGTGGAGAGCTGCAGGCAGCTCCTTGGGGCCCAGCTCCGGGTGTGTGGGAGGAGTGGCGGGGGCGGGGAGGGGCTGTGGAAGTAGGCAGAGCCTTTGATTAGATTATAAAGAATGTAGACCCTGTGTCATTTATTGTGCCAGAAGCCAGGTTACGTATTGTCCAAGTGTTATCTCATTTAATCCTCCAAAATTGTAAGCACTTAGCTTTCCTAGTCATCTGCTCCTTTTTCAAATGATAGAGAGAGTACATTTTAATAATTGATTAGTCAGTGAAGGCAGAGCTGACACTCCTTGTGGGACAGCTAGTTAAAAGCAGGCTGTATCACTGAGAGGTTGAGAGAACAGAGCTTGAGAACTGCCAGTTTGGGGCTTAAATCCTGGCTCTCCAGTTATCAGCTGCATGGCCTTTGGCCAGTCACCCCCCTCTCCACGCCTCCCCTCCTCACCTATGAAGTGGAATGTGTCATCTCTGTCTTGTAGAGTTCTTGTGAGGATTCAGTGAGATCATGGATGTAAGGCATGTAGCAGAGTGCCTGGCACCAAACACTTAAAGTGTAACAGGCATCCATCTGGTCATCAACTTCCAGATGAGATGTGTTGATGTGGGCTAGTTTGATACCTCCAGGACCTCGAGGGGTGGGGGCAGAGCCTGCTGTCTGCTCCTTGCCCCCCCAAGGCTGTGTCTGACACATGGGCTCTCCTTCTGGCCGCAGCACTGTTACCTGGGTGGAACCCACCTGTTTGTAAACACACTTGTTCTCGGCCATGGCAGGTCCACCCATGCCTCCGACAGCCGATGCTGCCAGCCTCCAGGCTAACAGAGAAGTCTGTGTGGGTCTTTGTTTCAGCAACGTTGTTTTCACACTGGATTCTTTTTACACAAATTAATTTAAAAGAACTGGGTATTCTAGATCTCAGGAGCAAAAAAAAGTAAAAATAAATAAATAAAAGAACTGGGTGAGATTCCCCTCCGCTACCAGCACCTCTAAGTACAGATTGCAACTTTGCACGGCTCTAACTTGCACATATGGCAGCCAAGAAAAGGCGCTCTCTGTTGTTCCTCTGCTTTCAGCTGAGGGCAGACCCTTCTCAACAGACTTCTTTTTGTTTGGTCTTTTTCCTTTGCAAGACAAAACTCCAGCTCTAGAGAAGTCAGACTGTGGTTCCCATCGGCTCCATCCCAGACTGACCGCGTGACCCCGGGCTAGTTGGTTGACCTCTTGGAACCTCAGCTCCTTCGTCTATGAAACTGTGGGAATTGGAGTACCTATGACAGTGTCAGGATCATGGGAGCGTGATAACTCTTGGCTGAAACAATGTTATTAAACATAAGAGTAAGCTGGGCTTGGAGTTTGAAGATTTAGGCTCAAATTCTGGCACCACCACTTGTGAGTTTTATAGTTTGGGATCTGTTCATCAAGCCCTCCAAGCTTGAACTCCCATAACTGTGAAACGAGTTGGTAATACCTAACTCAGAGGGTCGCTGTGACGGCTAGATCTGAAAGGAGACGTGCAGAACCTTGCGTACAGATGCAAATTCTGTACAAGCACCAGATGTCGTCATCATGTTGTAGCAGGGGCTTCATGCTGGCCACCCACAGTCCTCATCTAGCCCACAAACATGTTTGGTTTATCCCCACAGCAGTGTCATTTGTTGTTACCAAATTATTTGTCAACACTTAAAGATTAGAGGTTTTCACGTGAAAATTGCTATTCCCAGCATCACTCTTATTTTGCCACGGTCACCCAGCCCATGACATTTGTGGGACTTGGGGCAGGAGTGCAAGCGGAGGCCCCTGTCCCACACGGCTAAGTATTTGAAAGTAATTATGACGCTCCCAAACTAGAATATATGTCTTCTGCCTTGACAAATATTCCTTCTTAGTGACCTGGAAGGCTAGATTTGAATTTAGAATTCTAGGACTCCTTGGAGTTGAGTCTCAGGACACCCTGACCTGAACATTCAAGCTCTGGCCAATTGCCTCCAAAGCAGCTGCCTTTTGCTGTTGCTCAGACCTAAGTGTCATCTGTCCCTCTGAGAACCGACAGACTTGGGGCTGCTTAGGGCCAGTTGAGGGAAATTCTATGGTCCCAAATAGCCAGGATGTAGTCTAAAGTGGTGGCTATGTGTTCCACTTGCCCATGAAACTGGACCCTTTATTCCATGGCGGGGGTGGGGGGTAGCCACAGGAGAAGTAGAGCAGGGACCCCCCCCCTCCAAAGCATGGGGCCTGGGGCGGCAGCACACCTCTTGCCTACATCTTAACATGGTACTGGCAACAGCTGGAAAGAGTGGCATTGCAGCTGTCCCCTTTGGAGGGCATGTGCTACCCTATTTGCCACAATCCCTACCAATCCCTATTGCTCACAACCAGTGGGCTTTGGTCATTTGACTACCTGCTTGGAATTGTGTTTGTGCTGCCTGACACAAAGCCTCCAGCACAGGGCCTGGCCCTGCTGGGTGTTTGGTGGCCATGAGCAACAGAATTATTAGAAGGTTCGGTTCTCGCTGCCACGTGCAGTCCTGACGGCCTCACCCATCGCTGAATCTCACCCCATGGTCCATCACCCATCAGGGACAGTTAGGCTTCTCGCACCTCCTGTTGTTTTGTCTCCAGAAGTCTGGGTCGAGAGTGTTGTCCAGTTGTAACATTCCTCTTTGAACCAACACTGAATTCCTTAGGGATGATGGCTGGGGTAAAACCCTGATCACCTTAGAAATAAACAGCACAGTTTGAAAAGCATTCTGAGTTAA